GCAGCAAGACCAAGGCTCAGAAAATTTCACTCCCCCACCTTCCCAGTTTATGGCCACATGAAGGCAGTAGACAAGAGTGATGGATACTCGGACACTCCCCGATCAGGTGCACCAAGACAGGATTGAAAGCAAAATGAGGGAGGGCTACAGAACCTTCTTGGTTGGACCCTGAGACAGCAGCTCTGTTCTGGGTCCTGTGTGTACGAGGTGCCAGGCACAGGGCAATGCCACAGATGTCCAGAGTGCAGCTCTCCAGCCTGCTAACCACGTGTGAAGCACCCAACATTTTTTTTTCATATTCATACTTTAAGCAACCCTTTCTCCTCAAGTTAACCTGTGCTTTCTCTTGCTGGTGTTGAAGACCATTGCCTTAATAGAAATTGGAGCCTGGACTGGCTGCAGGCAGTGCCTATTGGAGGAGACTTAGGGAAACTGGAATTGATTATGGGGACTGCTTGAGAATGAGTTAGTAAGAATAGGCATATGGGCTGGGTGTTGGTGGCGCACGCATTTAGTCCCAGCACTCGGGAGGCAGAAGCCAGCGCTGTGAGTTCAAGACCAGCCTGGTCTACAGAGCTAGTTCCAGGACAGCTCCAAAGCAATACAGAGAAACCCTCGAAAGACCTGGGGTGGGGGAGAATAGGTACATGGTTAAGACAGCTGCAGAAGCCTGTGGTGTGCAGCTGGAGCCAGGATACCTGGTATGCAGCCAGAGACAGCATGCCAGCTCTGCCATTTGGAGTCATCTGGACTGAAGGGTCCATTGAAGATGTGACTCTGGTCCTCAGAAGGAAAGGAAGGAGGAATTTCATTGTGGCAGTGGGAACCAGGGAACACTATCCTAAATTCCTGAATTCTTTTTTTGTTTTGCCTTTTTGTTGTTGCTCCTGTTTTTTGAGACAGAGTATCCCTGTAGCCATGGCTGTTAAGGAATTCTCTCTATAGACCAGGCTGACCTCAAACTCATAGAGAACTGATATCTCTGCCTCTCAAGTGCTGGGATTAAAGGTGTGTGTCATCACCACTGGGCAACTCCTGAATTCTTGACCCAGAACCCAGACCAAGAACTCGGGGCTCAGCCTGGATGGAGTGTAACTCTGTGGCTTATCTGGCACAGGTTCCATCCTCAGTACCACACAAGCAGAACAACAACAACAAAACAACCCAGAGCAAACCTTGAGGACTTCTACTGCTTCCCTGAAAGTTCAATGGAATTCTTGCAGCCTCAGGACCAAGAGCCACAACCCCTCAGGAGCATCTTGAGATATTCTAAACCCGGTCTTCGAAGAGATCCTTCACAGCTAGTGAAGGAAGGGATAGGTGGATAGATGGATGATAATAAATAGATAGATACTGGATGGGTATATGAGTGGAGAGATGATGGGTGGATGGATGGATGTTGAATGGATGGATAAGTGGATAACAGGTACATGAAGGATGCTAGATGGGATGATCATGTAGATGATGGGTAGATAATTGGTAGATGGTTAAGTGGGTGAATGATGAGTAGATGGGGGATTATGGGTGGATGGATGAATAGACAGATGAGTAGATAGGTGGAGGATGGATAAATGGGTAGATGATAGGTGGACAGTGGGTGAGTGATAGGTAGATGGATAAGTGGGTGGGTACATGATGGATAAACAAATGATGGGTTGATTAATGGAGGGGGTTGAATGTGTAGATGATAGAGGGACAAATGGATGGATGAATGGGTAGGTGGGTAGATGATGGGCAGATGGATGGATATGGGATGTCTCACTTCTAAGGTTGGACCTGACATTACAAGGACCCCTGGGAATACAACCTGTGAGGTCTTTAGACTATGGCCAAGTTTATAAAAAGCTGAACAATGTGAATTGCTTTTTCATATCAGCAAAGCCCCAGAGGTTGCTGCAACTGTGCACATCCAATGGAACTTATAAGGGAAACTGTATTTACCAGTGCCTCTGAATTCAGGATGCTGTATCCATTGGTGAGGGTGGCTCTAACAGCTCTCCACGGGCTTGCTGAAGAGCAGCTGGGTAGAAATATATCCACAAGAACACATCTTCTAGAAGGGCTTAAGTTTGTTGCCCAGTCTGACTGGGGCCCCACATGGCCTTAGACATATGGTCTCCCCCAGCCCATCTCAAACTCAGAACTTCCTATAGGGAAGAAGTGGTCTGGCCCACAAATGTTCCTCCAGGGGACTGTTGCCATTTGTAAGAGGGCCAGTTGTACCCAGTGGAATTGTGGGTAGTTGTTGGAACTTATTGACACCTGGCCTGAGACAGAACAATAGGGCCACAACAGGAACAGACACAGGTATTACAGCAGTGAATCTAAACTCCTTTGCTCACTTTCTAGTTCTAGTTTTACCTCATCATACTGCTGTTAGCCATTGGCTGGATGTTGAGAAGAGAGAACAAATCCATCACTTACCAGGCCACACATGCTGAGCAGGTCTTTGCCCTTGGATCTCTAAACTGTGAGCAGCAGTTCTGTGAGACTGTGCAAAGGGAGGAAACAAGGTTGCGATAGAGACCTAGTGTTCATCACTAAGTTGTGTCCTCTGCACTGTGGGTTTCAAGCTCCTTGGAGATTGATAGAATGAGGTAGCAAAGACTGAGAGTGGAACATGGTATGGGTGACACACCACAAAGGAAGAAGTGGGGCAGGGATGAGGGACAGGATACATGGATGGATTTGTGAATATATGCACAAGTGGGTGAACATATGGGTGGGTGGATAGATGAGTGATGAATGGGTGTGGGTGGATAGACAATAGATGAATATGTAAGTAGACTGGTAGATGTGTAGAAAGATGAATGGATGATGAATGAGTGGATGGATGAGTAGGTGGATGTGTAGATGATAGATGGAGGAGCAGTTGGATGAATTGGATAGACACACATGGACAGATGGATATATGTATGAATGATAGATGTATTGATGAAGGGATGCATGAATGAGTGGGTGGATAGATGGATGAGTGGACAGGCAGATGGGTAGATGAGTAGACAAATGGTTGTGTATATGAATGAGTGGATAGACAGATGGAAAGATGTATGTATAAGGGCTGCTTGATGGGTGAATGGATGAGCAGATGAGTGGATGAGTAGACAAATGGATGTATATATGAATGGGTGGTGGGGGAACAGATGGCAGATGAGAGGTTTGATAGAAGTACAGACTTGGAGAGAGATGTCACTGGACACATATAGAAGGTATTGGACATGACCTCAGCATCCACGGCTCTTCCTGACAAGGAACATGCTGGGCCAAGCAAAGAACTAGTGAGAAACTGAAACCTTTGGTCAACAGTTACAGCCTGAGTCTATAGTTTTCCGACCACACCATGGTGGGTGAGCCCAGGCAGAAGAGCTGTGCTTTGGGGCAGAAACACTCCATTCTTCCAATAACAGATAATGACCTTCACAGTCTTTTCTGGGTGATTGTGACATATACATCAGATAACTGTAAAGTGCTAAAGAGGAGTAAATAAAATAAGTCATGTGGTTTTTTTCCTTGACAGGTTACCATGGAGACCAGAGAGATATGAAGAGAATGCTGAGCTGGCACTCAGGAGGCAGAGGCAAGCAGATCTCTACAAGTTCAGGGCCAGCCTGGTGTACATAGTTGAGTTCCAGACAAGCCAGGATTATATATGAGATCCTGCCTCAATCCTGCCCTACCTCCTCCCCCCAAAAAAGAGAGAATGCTTTCCTTAGCAGAAGTTTTTTGGGGAATGTCATTTTAGCCTGATGCTTTAGAGGCCCACCAAGCCCCTGAAGGTCCACAGATTCAGTGGTCACCTGGCAAGGAACACGGGTAAGAGGATCCAGGCAGCTCTTTTGGAAGGTTCCTGCTATCATCCATGAAATGGTCCAGCTGTCGGCAGCTGTCTAGATGTCCCAAACCCTGGGCTCTGCAGCTGTCTCAATTTCTATATTCTGGTGAATCGCCTCCCACTTGTCTCCCCCGCACCGAGCCCAGTTCCAGCACTAACTCTGATGTCTGGGAAATTGGATATTGGCGGTCCAGGGAAAGGGAGGCTCTACATAAGAATGTCAGGCTGGATGGGAGACTCCAGACATTTTCTTTCAGCTCCACTCACCACCATGGAGACCCCTCTCCTCTAGCACAAGTTGGGACCCAAGTCATGTGGCTCTGGACGCATTGGCAGGGACAGACACTTGTAGTAGGGCTCAAGGGGTGAGGGGACAAATTGAGTCATAACCATGGGAGCCTCTCCATCAACCAAGATGGCCTCATCTGCCCTTGCATATAATCAAGGGACATGGAGCCAAGCAGTTCAGGCCAACATGGTTTTAGTTTCCAGTCATCCCTTCAATGAGACAGACTCCCCTCTCCTGAGCTCCTTGTCAACTCTACATTGTAAGCAGGACCCAGAATACTTCTTTATAAGCTGGAACCCAAGGCTCCATGGGCAGAGAAGACAGTAAGGTTGAAGTGGAAATCTGCTTTGCCTTGCCAGCACCAAAAGAATAGGTTGAAGCAAAAGGCACAGGACTTCAAGGCTGATCCTTGGCTGCTCCCAGTCCCTTCCCTTCCCATCTCTATGGTCAGTCTGAACTGGCAGATTTAGGGCCGAGCCCAGGCCAGGGCTTGGCCCTTTTTTGATGAATTCCACAGCCCCTCCAGGACCTCCTCCAGTCCCCCACACATGCTACCTGTAATGTGGGATTCTACATCCACCTGGAGGCCCCTGCTCAACAGAAATCAATCAATCTATAGGAGCAGGCCCAGGGGACCAGGTTTCAGGTCCTGCTAAGGGGCCAGGACCAACTCTCCCTCTCCCTGGAGCCAGGCCCAAATATGCATGAGCACGTGAAAAGTGTGTATCTGTGTGTGCACATGAGATGCCCAATGGTGTCTAGCTTTCCCGAGTGAGAAGAACACGTAGCAACACGTAGCAAGCTGTTGGCACATCCTGCCAACATGGAAAGGTTAATTGTCACACCCGATGCCAACAGACTGACTTCCGGAGGATTCGCTTGGTTTTGTTTTGTGGTTTTTTTTTTTTTACAACTTTAAATACAGAATATAAATAAACTTTACATTTAAAAAATAAAAAGAAAGCCCCCAAAAATATAATCACCAACTTTACAAACTGAAGGATGTGGACCTGGGAGGGGGAGGGAAAAGTGTGTGGGGTGGGGTGCATCAACTCCAGTCCTCCTGAGGGTTCTAGAGCTCTCCCTCTCTCTCCCACTTCCAGTCTACTAGCTAGCTTCCTGGAGGAAGCCATCAGGTAAAGCCACAGAAGATCTGAGGGGCAATGTGCAAGCAGGAGAGACTGCCCCACACCTGACAGGAGGGAACAGCTGGAGCGGAGGCAAGCGACGTGGAGGCAATAGGCAATAACCTGCAGTGCTACCCCAGCACTAGACTCCTTGCTAGCTTCAGGGTGGGTCAGGGCACACACACCAGTCCACACAGGCCTCGGCATGAATTAAAACAAGGCTTCCTTTCCTCAGAGGATTGACCTACATCTGCCAGAAAGTCGTAATAAATAAGACAAATTGGCCATATTCGGGTGTGAACAGAGTTCTCCACATGCGGTGCCATGTGCAATGCACATCCCACACAACATTACTGGGCAGTCTTGGCTGGGTGGAATATAGCAGACAGGTCTCCTGTCCTAAGGAAGAATGACAGGGCCATTCAGAGCCTTGATCAGGGTGGCACCCATGGTGGGACAGACTGAAGGGTTTATGAGGAAGAAGATGCAGAGTGGAGGTAGAGAAATGAGACAGAAGTGAATGCAGGGGAGGTGGGGAAAGGCAGGGGACGTGGCCCAGGTCACAAACACACTGCACCTCCAATCCATCAGAGAAGGTGTGTGGCCACCTGCCCAGAGGAGTTCATATCTTCCATGATTTCATACTCATAAAATGAAAAGCCACTATGGGCTGAGGGGACAGTGAAAGATGAGTAGCAGATATGGGTGCCACGAGGGGTCCTCTAGTCTGTGCTCCCCATGTGGTCCTGGCCATGGGACAAGGGACCCTAGCCTGCCTGAATATGTTCCCTGCTGGCTGGCCAGGGGTCCAGGAACCAGGCAGGGCATGCAGAGGTCCTCAGGCCATGTCCCAGGTTCCTGGGGCCAGTCCACAGTCCCCCATGAGGCTCCTGCACACTTGCCCCAGGTTCTTGGGGTCAAGAGAAGCAGTGGTGGAGTAGAGTCCTTTGTTTCTGGAGCTGCAGGGCAGGCCACAGGGCGGGCCACCGGACTGCTGCTTGTGGAAGTGGCCGTGCACGCAGGGTGAGAGAAGCACCATTGGCTGTCCGAATCAGGCATCGAGACGGACGGACGAGGGGAACAAAATTATCACTCCAAGGACCCCATGGGGGCGATACAGCAAATACCATATTAAATAACCCTGCAGGCAGAGCAGAGGACACGGGGTCAGAAATGGCTCAGGGGCTCCCTTGGGTCCTAAGTTCCCATACCAAGACAAGGGACTGGTACTCCTGTCATCGTGTTTCCAGCAGGCCCCAGGGCCAGGATGGTGCAGTCATGGAGAACTGGAGTGGCAGGACAGACATCCACTTGGAATGGCTGAGGCACAGCTGGGCAGAAGAAACACTCAGGGCTGATGGGGCTGAAGAGAGCAAATGTCCCTGCTGGCCCTCACCTCAAATCTAAGCCACGGCCAGGGAGTATCGGAGCCTTGGCTCTCTTGACAAGTCCTCACCTGCCCACACACTTGCCGATGCCCCTAGGCCCCAAGGGTCTCCTTCAGTGCCTCCTTTTCATGTGTGTGCTTAAACTTTCGATGCTTCCCTCTGAGGGGCCGGCGGACTCGCACTGTCCGAATGGTCACCCGAGTTTTCGGCGTCTTGGCTGCTCAGGAAGAAAAAGTGTTGGTCAGCACATAATGGTTATGGGGTATTCTCCTTGTATCCCAATTCCTGTTGTGAGCCTTAGGGCTGGCTCGGGAAGAGAACCAGGGGAAGGTCAAGGGCAGACTTCAGGAGGTCATAGCCAAGTCCCCATTGTTCAACAGCTGTGTGCTCTGGGGATGTGACTGAACCTTTATATGCCTCAGTTTCTCTATCTGAGAGTATGGCAAGAGGATGGCCCACCTCATGGGAAAGGGGAGTGGACTACATGGTAATAGGCTGGCCAAACAGTGCCTGACTCAGGAGATGCTTCAATGTGGTCCTCAAGTCCTTCCTGCATGGCATGGCCCTGATCCTTCAAACACAACAGGAGGGCCTGCTGACGATGTACCCATCAAACGCATCTTCAGAGGATGGGCACAACCCATCTTTGCACTTTGGTCACCCTGTCTCACATGAAAAATCTGGCTAGAAATGCAGTTTGAGGATGGGTTCTCTTGCACCACAGGTGTAGCTGTCCCCTTCTGCCACAGCTAGACTGCAGAAAGATCAACAAGCTACCCAAGGAGCCTAGTTCTTGAACATAAGTGCATGGCCAGGGTCAGCCATAGTACAGCATGGGTAGCGGCCAGTCGCCACTGTGACCCTCTTGGTTCCCATCTCCCTGGCGAGTACTCCTACTGAAACTTCCAGCCACAAGATGAGGAGGCATCAGCTGGGTTCCCGGCCAGAATCAGACTTTCCTTGGAACTGGGCCTGTCATTTAAATTCCTGGGCACTCTGAGAAACAGAATGGAGGGCTGGGCCACAGCTTAGTCAGGGGGTCAGCCCTGGACCAAACCTGGACTCTTCCAGGGACTGTGTGCCATGGGACAAGTCACTTAACTACTCTGTGCCTTTACAGTGGTTGTGACCTCTTAGGGTTGAGAAAGTGTATCAAGAGCCAGAACCACAGCAGTCACTGCTCTGGGCCTGGTTCCCCTATGAGCACCTTTTTTTCCACAGTGGGTATTATTCGTCCTACAGTGTTGGAGAAACTGAGGCAGAGAGCTGTGTTTGAAGCCCTGGCATCTATCTGTGCTCCCCACCTCCTACACTTGCTTGAACTAACAGTTCCTGGGAGCCCTGGGCCAGGCTGACTATCAATCTTTCCTCCTTCTGGTCTCTAGGAAGCCAGGCAGGGGGCCAGCACTTCCTGGGAGCCACCGGGAAAGTTCCTGGCCCTCCAATTAGTGAGGCAGCCTTCCTTTAATGCAAATGCAGTTTTCCTTGCAGTGTAGAGATCTAGGGGAGCTCAGATCCTAGGAGGGCCATGGGTACACCCCACAGAGAGCTTCTACCCCAAAGGGCAGGCCATGCACAGAAGGCTGAGCTGGTCCAATTCATATAACTCACACACGATAGAGGTTTGAGCCTAAGAATTTCAAAGAAACTGCACGCCTTTAATCCCAGCACTCGGTAGGTGGAGGCAGAGGCATGCAGATCTCTGAATTTGAGGCCAGCCTAGTCTACAGAGCTAGTTCTAGGGCAGGCTCCAAAGCTATAGAGAAACGGTGTCTTGAAAAACAAAAATGAAACAAAACAAACAAACAAACAAAAAAAAAAAAATTCCAAAGAAACAGCAGTGACCTGTGCCATTCCAGAGATGAACCTGGAAGAGTCCCTCAGAACTCTGAAAATTCCAATGCTAACGCTTACAAATTCTTCTACAGCACAGATGGTAAAGCAGTGAAAGCCAAGGAGAGCAGCTGGGGTGAGGGAAGAGCCAAAAAGGGGCTCTCAGGACACATGGGCCTAGGCTGGGCTGTGTGACCTGGAGCAAGGCTCCAATATCTTTTGATATCAGGGACCTCTGATATCAAAGGAGCCTCTGAGATGTCTTCAACTTAAATCTAATAGTCTGACACTTGTGGCATCAAAGACACAAACTCATGTGAAGCATGCTTGAATGTCAGACCCGCCTATCATAGCCCAGCTGCAGAGATGCCATTACTTGTAGACCTGCAGTATGTGATATAAGTGAAGAGGACTGGTTGGTAGCAAGGGCAGGGGCTGCAACCTTATTTAAGCTGGGAAGAATCTAGAATGTTCTTGTTGAGATCAAATTATCTCCAATAAATTTAACCACAGATGTATCCACCTGTTCTCTATCAATAGTAGGTTCTTTTTTATTGTTGTTGTTTTGTTTTGTATATATGTGTGTGTGTGTGGTATGTGCACTGTGTTGCTTCAGATACGTGTGTGTGTACAAGTGTTCACATGTGCTTGTGTTCACACAGGCTTTCATGTTGCACACAGGTACACATGTGAAGTCAGAAGCTGATGTCAAGTGTCCTCCTCAATTGCTTTTCACCTCATTTCCTGAGGTAGGGTCTCTCAGGAGGTCACCAACAGCTAGACTGTCATCTGATGATACCCTGGGATCCATCCATCTCCACCTTCCCAGTGCCGGGATGACAGACACAGTTGCCATTCCCTACCAGGGATTCAAACTCAGGGCCTCATGTTTGCTTAGGAGCACTCTACCCACTGAACACTCTCCGCAGCCTCCTGGCTCCTCCTTAGGGACCCATCCTTTTCCCAGATGTGACAAGGCAAAGAGGCTGTGGGCTGAGCCCCACAGAGCAGCCCTCTAGGAAGGTGGTTTACCTTTCTGTTCCCGGGATGTCCCAGGACTTCGAGTCACAGGCCGAGGAGTCACTATTGTCTCACACTTGCAAGCCAGGTGGTCCTCCAGGGTTACTGTGGCCTTCTTGAAGATCGGCTTCTTCCGCACAATCTCAATCTTTCTCACCTAGAGGACAGAGTGGAGCAAAACTCCTCTGTAGAAGCCACCGTGCAGGAACAGTCTCACATGCCTGGCAGTCTCCTAAGCTAGGTTCTTTCCTCGAAAGCCAAAAGCCAGGCTTGTCTGCAGTGAGGGCTCTGAACCAAACAATAGCAAGGCCTTGCCCTCTGCCCCTCTCAGAGCTTTTCCATCAAAACAAGCCCTTCGACCTAGCTGACCTGGTCTCCAACTTTGCTATAGCAACAACACCCGCCCCCCAATCCCAGAGTGGGAGAAAGGCATTTCCTGGTAGAACACTGGCCAAGGCCAGGGGCTGTAGCGAGCAGGGGAGATGGTTATCTGGAAGGAAGTGAGAGATACTTTATCTAGAAGAGAGACTGTAAGTGGGTTGGCAGCTGTCAGGTGTCTATCCCTAAAGCTGGGGACAGAAGATACTGTGACAGTGGGGAAGCATAACATGTCATTAATTTATAATCTGGGTTACAGGGATAGGCCAGGAATGGATGACTGAGACACTGGACACAGGCAGAGGGCAGAGAACGACAGCATGGCCAAACAGCCAGTGCACCGGGTAGGGCTGGTTGTAACCTTTGTGCTGTGTGCCCAGGGGGACCTGAAAAGGGAAAGCTGACCCAGGTACAGAGACCTGGTCTTCCAGGGTTAGAAGATACTTGAGCCTCCCTGTGCCCTGCCCTGTCCACATGAAAGCAGGTGCTTCAGGGACAGCCTCTGGGTCCCTCCTACAGACTAGCATCTGTGCCCCACCCCCTCCAAAATCAAGGTGGCCACAGTGCTGGGCCATTTGCCAGTGGGGGCCCTGGTTCCTACAGTGCTTGCCATTGGAGGACATTTGTGCCACCTTTGTTAAAGACAAAGGTTGCCAAAGAGACAGATAAAGTCCCAAAGTATAGAGATCCCTGAGTATGATGGAGCATTGAGGGGGCCTGGGCAGCTGTCCTGAACATTCTTTAAGTGTCAGATGTTTGAAGACAGGAACACTGTGGGATTGTGTCCCTGTAGAGCAGATGACATTGGTCCACTACTTAGCCCTTCAACCTGCAGCAGCTGATCTGCCGCTGGAGCTGGGAGACCTAGGATGGAGCTTTGACAGGATGGGGCGGAATCTGCGCACCTGCACTGGCCGCATCTGCACCTGCGAGGCCCGGCACTGCACATTGCGGTTGTTGCAGCAACCAGAGCAGCGCTGCACCTCCACACACGGAGGCCACACCAGGAAGTTGGCATTGGTGCGATCGATGAGGTTCCGCGAGATCTGGAACACCTCTGTGCGTGTCTTGCACTCGGCGATTACAGCTGGCTCTGCGGCTGCCAGGGAACCTGGAGCAGGGGTGGGGGTGGGGTGATGGCCTGTCAGGAGAGGATTGTCTTCTTTGGAACTGCCCCCATCCAGACAGTCCTCAACTTGGGTAGGTATGTGGACCACCCTGAGCCTCAGTTTACCCCATGTGAAAACAATGAGATCTATTCCTAAGAAGCATGGTCAGGATCAGGTAAGATCATCCCGTGTGACCTTGTAAATGTTTTAATGCACACTTGTTCCATCCTCCTGGATCCCAAGTTTTCAGGTTCACACCATTGTGTGATTGGCCCTGAGTCCTCACCCACTGTTAGCATGCTGGCTTGCATTGGCTGATCGATCGATCAATTAATCCTTCCTTCCTTCCTTCCTTTCTTCCCTCCCTCCCTCCCTCCCTTCCTTCCAAGACAAAACTATCCAGGATAGCTCTGACTATCCTGGAGCTCAGACATCAAACTCACAGAGATATGTCTGCCTCTGCCTCCAGGGCACTGGGGTTAAAGGCGTGCACCATCACCGCCTGGCTGCACTGGCCTATTTGTATGTGGCTCTGTGGCTCTTTCTTTCAAAGCCTTATCTACCTCATCTGTGATATGGATAACAGAGCTTTGCCTCTCATTTGAGCTAAGAGGAAGAAGGTGGGTGAAGCCTACAGCAAGTGCTATTGCCTACAGAGAAAGGGGCTTGGAGACTTTAGGTGGCTGGCTTCCTGCTGTAGCCTAGAAGGCTTCTCTAAGGCCTAAGATCTACTGGCTTGGTCTCTGCCAAGGAGCAACTAGCAGTCCTAAGCTTAGCTTGGTGCCTCTGCATTAGGCCATAGTGTAGCCCTGGGCCACAGTGGACAGAGGACCCACCCAGAATACCTTGGGCTCAAGTGTAACAAATTAGCCCTCTGAACCTCAGTCCTTCCATTCCAGTTTCTCCACCCTGGTTTCTATTCCAGGGTTGGAGTGAAGAAACAGCTGAGTATAAAAGCAGAGACAGAGGTAGGCAGATCTCTGTGAATTTGAGACCAGTCTGGTTTACCTACATAGCTAGGGCTATGTAGTAAAATCCTGTTTCAAAAACAGGAAGAACCAGAACACTATATTTTAAAAGCAAAACATGGGGCAGAGGGCTTGGTAACTCAACTTCAAAAACAGCTATGCATCCCATTCAGTCCTAACAGTAGGAAGAGGTTTGGGGAGTGACTCCCAATCCAGGATGGCTGTGTGCCCTGGTCTTTCTTCCCTGGATCCCACCCTTTGAGGGGCCATTATCTGGACCCTTGGTTTTACCTAGGCTCCGCCTCCCTCGAGATGCGTTTTCTGGCTTGCCTCCAGAGTGTGCTCGGGTCATGTTCAGGTCCAGCTCAGCCCCATTTTCATCTGTAAGGGAAAGCATAATCAGGCATGCTGGCCCAGATTATTACCACAAGACTGGGTTGAGGACAGCGAATCTACAATCTGAGACTCTGCCCTTGGTGCTGTATAAACCTGACACCCCTGGCCCTGAAGAAGCAACCAGGAAGCCTTGGGCAGCTGAATGGTTTGGTGGGGACAGTGGGGCCTGACTGCATATTGGGAGCCTTCAGCCTCACTCTCAGTTTTTAGCCCCATTTTTGGCCAGAACCCATGTCAATGGAGTTAAAAATAACCCTTCCCCTTCGCTTGTCAGTGAACCCTCCTCAGCCTCCAGGGTGGAGCAGGGACCCAGAGCACTGGAGGCCAGTTCTCAGTGCCCTCCAGAGCGTTCCCATAAGAAGTGCTGAATGGAGAAATTCCCAGAATCCCCTTGGGGCTAGCAGGCTCAGTATAGCCTTCTGGAGCCTTGACAATGGCTCTACTGGTCTGGAGAGAAAGGGTGGAGAGGAAGGGGGTGGGAGGGCTCTGTCCTCAGCTTTCATCCTGGGCTTTCTGTCCCTTCTCCAAGCTTTGCTCCTCTTCCTGCCCCTAGCCAAAGCTCCCTTCCCTAAGCTCTCCTTGGTGATATCTCCACCCTAACACCTCCCTACCCTCAGACATTGGCCAGGACTAGGCTTTGAAGTTGGTCTTGAAGGTGAACAGCCCCTTTTGTCTCTTAATGGTGGGGAACAGCAAATGAACTGAGGGATGCTGGAAAGGAGCCTCTGCTGCCTCCTTACGGCACACGTTGGGGCTTGTATATCTTTCCCAGCCCACTGGTCCCATCAAAGGCAAAGGCTTCTGCCAGCTGCTGCCCCATCTAGGATCCCTGTGATCCTGCAGATCGACACTGACTGATTAGCAAGTCTGCTTGGTCCAGCCCAACAGTGTTGACCATGTCTGCCTGCCTGTCTGTCCCTTATTCTCCTCCTTTCTCTCTGCCATCTCTGGAATGTCCCTGGTGGGGAGGAGATGGGGAGAGATGTGCTTTGTGGAAAGGGTAAGTTGATTAGGAAAAAATAGCCACATGGTTGCCTCGAAACAGGCCTGCTATTGAAAACCTCACATCCAAGATCCCGACCCCCACCAGGGGTGTGGAGGGGCTGCCTGAGCTGGGCGGCAGAGCGCCTTGGAAAGAAACAGCAAGAAAGCTAAATTTGGAAGTTGCCCCATTGTGTGGCCAGGGTTGGCCAGCCGGGCACGGGTGGGAGACATGGGGTGGGGGCTGTGGTGAACAATAGGTGGGCCCAGCTGGGGCCCCCCCTGCCTGCCTTACTACCCCCCCAGCCCAGGCAGTATTGAAAGGGCCCGGGAATGCTTTTGAGAAGGAGCCAGGGGCCCAACGGAGAGAGGAAACAAAGGCAGGAAATGCTGTTCCCCTGTAGATAGCGTCTGGGCAAGAATTACAAAGTGACAAAGAGACAGGACCCCAGAGGGACAAGGGCCCGTGGGTGTGTGTGGGGGTGGGGGGGGGCTGCTGAACAAGGCTCCAGGGACCAGGCCTGAGGTTAGAATAGAATGGAATTTACTCTGAAGACAGCATTTATAAATACATTCCCAGCCCAACCCACCGGCCCTGCCACGTGTGTGCCACCAAGCACGTGCCCATTTGCCCAGTGCACTCTTGGGCATGAGCAGGGCTGTCAGCTGGTCCTGGCCAGGTGTCCCCAGGAGACCTTGCTGACCAGGTCCTGGGCCAGAGGGGCAGGTAGATGGTTTCTGAAGCCCTACCCTCTTCAGATGGGTCCACACCTGAACAGGTACTCAGTACATGCCCCAAGTGCTTTCTCTCTGCCAGCCCAGCTCCAGGAACCCCACCCTCTGCACCAAGCCAGAGTCACACGTGGGTGCTGCTTCTGCCACGCCCCATGTACCGTACCAACCCTTCTTACTGTGCCCTGCCCTGGGTAGGTGCAGTCGTACCTTCACTGGGTTGTGCCATGGATCTAGCTCTCTTATGTCAAGAGGGGTGTCCCTGCCTGCCCCTCCCCACTTTCCCAAGCACCAATGGAGGCTGAGGTTCTGGAGGAGGATCCAATTTACCTACGGAGTCTCCATGCAGCAGGCGCTGAAGGTCATCAAAGGAGCGGATGGAGTGGTCACTGAGCATTTCATAGAGTTCCTCTGGAATGGGGTCCCCCTGTTGGGCAGACACCCGGAATTGAGTAACTGGGATGAAGGCTTACCAGGCAAGCATGGCTGTCTTGCTAACCACACACTTTCTCTTGCACAAAGTTCTTACCAGGACCCCCGTCCCAAATAAATAGACAGTAAGGCTGGAGTAGGTAGGAACAAGGAGCATAAAGGCCCAAAGACTTAAAGAGGTAAATTCAGGCTGAGGGTGCCCAGCCCTCCACAGTACCCAGACTTGCCCCCAGCTCCACCAGCTTGTCTACATATGTCTCCCCCATCACATCACAGGTCCTGGAGAAACTTCAACAATCCAATTTTTTGATACTTTCCCTCCGCACCTGATAGCTAAGACAGGCACACACACCCACACCCACACTGTTTGTATAGGTCCCACAAACCCGGTGAGAACAGAGGTTTCACTCAGAAAATGACAGTGAAGTGTGTGTTCCAGCCCAAGAGGGGCTTAATAATGAATAGTGCCTGCTGAGCTGATCTCAGAAGCCTGTGTGTCCCAGTGCTACCGACTCAGTCCTTGCCAAAGAGGAAATAAGGGAATCCTCAGGCCCAACGGGAAACCTGAAAGCTTACCCATGCATGCCCATGCCCAACCAAACTATTTTTAGAGCCCCTCTGGCCTGTCACCAAACACTTGCAACTTAGTTAGAACCTTAACAGGCCTCACTATAAGCCAGCTTCCTCCAGGGAAACCGCAGGTCCCACAATCATATTCATACAGCTGGAGAGGAAGGTCACTGCTGCATCCCCATAGCCCTAGGAGTCTCAAGAGCCTGGTGCTAAAGGTTCCAAGAGAGAGATGAAGGCAGAGGGGACTGGGAAGTGTCCTAACCATAAGGGACAAAGGAAAGGCAAAAGATGCCAAGGCATGTCTGAGGTCTGGGACCATGGTGCATACACACATGCCAGTATGCACACACATGCAGGCTTGTGACAAGACCATGCAGCCTGAGAGAAGCTCTAAGCCACTCTGTGCCTCAGTTTCCCTGGACTGAAACTGAGTAACTAAGCACAGGTAGGGGTGTGTGTGTGTGTGTGTGTGTGTGTGTGTGTGTTTGAGAGTGGGGTCCTGCTCTCACTGTCTAAGGTAGAAAAGAAGTTCTTACCCCTGGTCAGCTATGGGGGAGGGGTGGGGAGGGAGCGGGGTCAGTCTCCTCAAGGCTATGTGTCTTAGACACTTGTCAACAGCCCAGATCACTGTGGGTGATGCCACCCCTGGGCTAGTGGACTATAAGAAAGCAGGCTGTCAAACTATGAGGAGCAAGCCAGTAAACAGCACCCTCCAATGGCTTCTACTCCCTTCAGTCCCTTAGTGCTGGACAGTGCTATGGAACTGCAAACGGACACAGAGTGTCCTCCTGAGTTGCTTTGGCCATAGTGTTTTATCATACAACTGAAAATCTAAGACAGTTTGGTTTTACTTTGGGGGATTTTATTTATTTGTTTATTTATTTATATTTACTTTTGTGAGACTGTTGTTACTGTGTAACAACTGCTCTGGGTTTTGTTTTGAGACATGGCCTTATGTTGCCCTTGCTGGCTGGTGTGGAGGCCAAGATAGCCTTGAACTCAACTATTCACCTGCCTCTAGTAAGGGCTGAGATTAAAGATGTGAGCCACTATGCCTAGCAGGAAGATCTTTTGAGCCCAGGAGTCCCAGGCTAGCCTGGGCAACATAGAGAGACCCAGTCTCACATACACACACACACACAAAACTTTTGTGGTCCTTGACATGTGCAGTAATATTTAGGAAAAACTCCTTAGGGATTCAGTTATACCCACCTCTGGTCCCCCATGTCAACTTAGGAACTCAATACAGGCTCAAGGAGCCTAACACCTTGAAACCTGGCTCCTGGAACCCTGTTCAGCATCTGGATCACTTTGTTCAGTCATGGAGTTTATAAACCTGCCTGGTATCCTGGGGATGTCAAAAGTTTGAAGGAGAGGTTGGGGTGGGGGCAGGGGCTGGGCAGAACATGGACAGACAGCTCAAAGGTGAACTGCAGAAGGCCACTGCCCCCGAGTTTTGTCAGTCTCAGAACTGATATTCAAAAGACTTCAACTCCTTGCCTCACACTGCTACCATCTGCAGGTAGCTGGCCTCTAGCTGGCCATTGCCTCTCTCTGGTCTTGGCTCTTATCTATGAACTGGGGAGTTAGAAAACATTCTATTGTGATCTAATGCAGCCTGGGGGTCACAGAAGGAGAAGAGGATAGCAGAGCCCTAGGGGTGGAGGGGCATCTAATGCTTGTCAGGATCTCCTTGTCCTCTCAAGGAGTGGCTGGAGCTGCCAGTGAGGCAAAGCAAGCTGTGGCCTGAACAGACCTAGTGAAACCTCAGGCCCCCAGTCCACCAAGCAACGGAGACCGCCGCATGGAGACAAACTCACCCCTGAGGCTGAGTGGGGAAAACAGACAGAAACTGTGGAGGTGGGGAAAGCATTCAGCTGGTGCTCAACAAATACTGGAAAATATGTGAAGGGCTGAGCCTTTCTCCTTGGGGGTCGTCTTCTTGGGTGTGATCCTTCATGCCAGGCACTAACTCAACAAAACACTGCACTAACTACAATCGTGAGGCGACTCTATCTTCAGTCCTATCTTCCAGATGGGAAAACTGAGGCTTAGAGTCTAGAAAACTAGTCAGTGGCAGGAGTGGGTCTCTCCCAGATCACAGCTTGCCTAGTCTCTCCTGGCCCACCAGGAACAGTTCAAGCATGTTTCCCCTCTGTTCTGATGCCACTGGTCCCTGCATCGTTTTAAGATTCCCGCTGGTTTCTTGCCCCTCTCATCTTACAGCAATGGTCTCAATTACAGTGACGGTATCCTAGGGGACACTGATACCATATGAAGGCATTTTTGGTGGTCATGGCTAGAAACAGGCTACTGGCATCAATGAATGGAGGTAGGGATGCTATTCACAATCCCACAAAGGATACAGCATCACTAGCCCCAAATGCCCACAGTGCTAAAGGTGAGAAACCCACAATAGAGGAAAGCCAGGGCTCCTGGTGTAAAGGGAACCAGGGTACACAGAATAAATCATCAAAAACCCTACTTTCAGCTGGTTGTAATAGCACAGGCCCATAATCCAAGCTACTTAGAGAAGGCTGAAGACAGAAGGATTTCGAGTTCAAAGCCACCCTGGGCTAAAGAATAAGTTCAATGCCAGCCTGGGGCGTGGAACAAATTTAAGGCCAGCCTGGGACACTAAACAATACTCTGTCACAGAATAAAAATAAAAACGGGGCTTGAGTGTGTAGCTCAGTGGCAGAATGATTGCCTAGCATTGGTGAGGTCCTGGGGTCAGTCCCAGTTCCACTGACAAAGAAACAAAAGGTGCCTTCCTCCCTTAAATGGGGTTAACCACAGCTGGTTCTGGGGTCCCTGGTAAGTGTAAGTGTACAGAGCAGAGTAGCCCCAAATAAAGAGCATTTAACTAGCTGTTATTGTTACTACCACCAATTCTCCCATATGGCTTCTTGAGGGCAACAGGACATGAATGTCCTGAGCCAGACACTCACAATACTTCAAGGGTGGTGACAAGTGGGTGAAGAGTTGCCCTCCCCTGGGACAGAGTGTGGCTTTACACATCCCCCATGCTGGACCACAGGAAATGACACCTAGCTCCACACTGATACTACCAGGTGACCCTTGGGCTGGTGGGGCTCTTCCAGGCCTGGGGGGTGTGTGTGAGCATTTAGCCTGAGGTCCACTCCAGGATGTTGTGCTCTGGGGAGCCTCAAGAGAACAAGATTGCAGTCAGAGTCCATGAGTTTGTGTGTAACCCACCCTCAATATAGAATTGCTGAAGCCAGAATTTTCTGCCATAGGTTCTGGAAGCCTCCAGGTGGGCACCCCAGGTTACCCCCATCTGTAGGAAAGGACACATGACAGCTTGAAGAAGCTGCCCCAGATCTCAAGCCTGGGGCTCCAGGGAGGACAAGGGTGTGGCTTGGAAGCAGCTGGGGCCAAGCCAGCCTGCCAGCCAAGAGAAACAGCCTCCTCCCTGCCCTGCCCTGCCCCACCCCCAAAGCCAGCTGCAGGAGGCACGAGCAAGCGAGCAAGCGTGAGGCCAGGTGAGTTACCTGCTCCCAGCCAGGCTGGCAGATCAAAAAGGCTTGCACCCCACCCTCCACCTGGGCCCCAGAACAGCACAGCACACACGCATACACACACAGGCAGAGATACACACTCCACAGCCTGCTGCCACTGCAGTGAGGGAGACGGGCTCTTCGCCCAGCACCCAGGGCGTTGTCTGTGGCTGGCAAAGGCAGAAGCTGACAAGGCCTCCTAGGGCCTGACTGCTTGTCTGCTTACGTCTCAGGCCGTATTTAGAAGACATGGCAAAGATGAGCTCTTTGAAGGAGCCCTTTCTGGGCACAACATAGAGAGAGAGGCCTTTTGGAGCCAGCTTTTCTAGCCAGCAGTTCTCTTCCTGGTTCCTGGGTTTACCCTCTCCCTCAGCCTCCCCATGCTTCTGCAACCCAGGCCAGCCCACTAGCCTCTTCTACCTCTGCTAGAGCAACAGGGGAAAAAAAAAAAATCTCAAAAATCTCAAAGCTGGAAGGACCTGTCTCCTGGATATGCCACCCTGGTGGCCCATTGCAATCACTACCTCCCACCTCAAGAGAAGCCAATTCCCCTATCATTCATATATTAAGTGAATGCAACCTGCTCCATATTTTAGGTAGGAGAAACTGAGGCCCAGCCTGCCTCTCCTTCAGTGTTTTTCTTTCCTCCCTGCTGACACTCCAGATTGAAGACAGAGAAGAGTGTATTCCAATATCTCACCATGGAGGAGGGGCAGGCTTACAAGCCAGATGCCCACAATGCACTGTACCATGGGTGGCTACTTTCAGGGGCCAGGGTTCATCAAAGTTGGCCTGGGCCCAACCCACCATTCATAATTCTTTCCACTCTTGTTTGGTGATTGTCCAGGCTACAAGCACCCCACTAACACTGCGGGAAACAAGACAAAGATCTCTCTAGTTTGCAATTCATGGGAGAAAGCAGGTAACAGCTAAATAAATCAAACCTCAAAAAGTTGCCATAATCAGGCATGATAGTGCATCACCTGTAACTCTAGAGGTAGAGGTAGGAAGATCAGGGGTTCAAGGCCATCCCCACATACATGCACAGTGAGTGGCAGGGTAGCCTGGACTTCATGAGATCCTGTCTCAAATTAAAAAAAAAAAAAAAAAAAAAAAAAAAAAAAAAAAAAAAAAAGGAAAGAAAATGCATCACAGGAGGAAAAAAAAAAAACATCAAAAAGAGGGAGGGCATCATGAACCCAAAGCAAACACCTTGAATTAATTCCTCCATACATGTATTTCCTGGCTCTTGCACTAAGGCCTCTAGAATCTATCTGTCCTTGACTTTCTCACTTCTGGGCAGGGGGATTCCAGCAAGTAGGTTTCCCCACCCCCTGTGACCATTAGCAAGCCAGGAGACTGGGTGGTTGGTGTCCCCTCTACTTCTTCCCAGTAGAAGGGTGCTGAGACAGACAGATTGTCACATGACAGTCACCTTCTGGGAAGTCAGCTCAGCTGACAGAGATGGGGGCCTCCACAGCCTTTTCAGACTTTCATCAAACCCTGTCTCAACAGTGCCAGCCTGCTTCCAACTTCAGGGTCACCTCCAGAAGCAAGGCCCTCCTTGTGTCTCCCTGCACCGGTGATTAGGAGCTGGACTGGACTGGTCCCAATGGAGATAGGTCCTCATGCTTTCAGCACTCCTCATGATTATCAGAAAAGTCAACAGCAAAACAAAGTACAATTCAATCGGGGTCCCAGAAATGGTCTATGGAGGAGCAAGGATGAGTTTCTGAGCTACAGCCTTAACCCCAAATGGGAATATTCATGGGAATGGTGGGGTGCTGCTGGAGGAAGCTGGAATGGTAAGAGAAGGCCTGGGAAACCTCACCCAGAAGTTACATAGCCAACAGAGCCCATCAGAACGCAGGGTGCCACACCCCTGACAAACAGGGAGGGTGAAAGGGACATACTCATCAGGTAAGCAAGTCCTTAATGTCTTGGAGGTCAGATGGACCCTTATTTGAAATGGAAACTGCCTGGCTATCCGTGCAATCTGGGGTCACTCCAATATCACCATGAGCCACTTAGGGGTGGTTGAAAACCCCTTATGGAGGGGGTAAAGTTTGAGGGGTGCCAAGCTGCTCTACCAGGCCAAAAAATTGATGCTGTGGAGTCCAGATCAGGATTTGGGGTTGTCCCTTCCTCCTTAGATTCCCCCCAGGAAGGAAATGGGTGGCTACATAGGCAGTGAGGTGCCAGGGCCCACGGTGGGCCCACCTGTTGCGTGGGGGCGGGCACCTGGCACTGAGTGTACAGAGGGGCTGTGCGTGCGTGGGTGTGTGAGCGCACGTGTATTCGGGCCGCGTGCGCGTGTGTCCCGCGTATGCATGGGCGTGGCAGCGGGCGCGCGACCTGGCGGCCTTATTGCGTGCCCGTCGCTCTGCGCGCCCGCCCGCGGGAGCACAGCATCGCCTCCGGCCAGGAGTGTGCATGCGTGGGGTGAGTGAGCAAGTCGGGGGCCGGGCGGGGTGGGCTGCAGAGATCAGATGTGGGGCGCCGCAGTTCTCAGGACGCCTTGGCACCGGGCCAGCCCCTAGGTCCCCGCGGCAAGGCAAGGCGGCATCTGGGGCCTCCAGGCGCCCCCCCCCCGCAACAGCTGGCCGCGCCCCAGGGGGCTGCAGGCAAGGCGGGGAGAGGGCTTCGTGAGGGGCCTGCAGCGGCCGGGCCATGCCCAGCTTGCTCTCTTTCGGGCTCCGGCCTCGGGGGGCAGCCACGGAAGGGCGGGGCCCCCAGGGCGGGCGGCCGGCGGCCCTCGAGGAGCCCCAAGAACAAAAGGAGACGGCGACGGCTCCTCCGTGGTCAAAACAACCTGCGCTGGCGGCGGCCCAAGGTCGGTCCGCGGCCTAGGAGCCCTCCGCCTTAACCCCTTCCCTGCTGCCACCGCCTCTCCCCTGCGTTTGGCTGCGGGCGACCGGGCTAACCTTGTCCGCAGCCGACTAGGTGCGGGCTCTGGACCTCAGCAGGCGGAGGCGGGACGGGATCCGGACACGCCGCTCTCCCGGCTCTCGCCTCGCTCCAGCTCGCGCCTCCTCCTGCCCCGCCCCCTTCCCACCTGGATTCCCGGTAGACTTGCCAACTCACTGCTACGTGAGGCTGGGAGGGGTAGGGGCACCGATCCGACCTGATCGCTCCTGCAGACGTTTCCATACCCCACCTCTCTTGCAGCTAGGCTTCTGCAGGCGCGCGCTCCGCAGGCTGCATGCGGGGGAGAGAGGTGCTTCCTCTCGCAGGGCGCGGGCGCAGGCGCAGGTATGACCCGGCCTCAGACACACACCGCCCCTGGGGCTGGATTCCATTAGAACTCCCCCCGCTCCGCCGCCCCAGTCCTGTCTCTACTCCAAGAGTCTGAACCTACCGTGTGTCTGTCTGCCTGTTTCTCTAGTGTCTCTGTGCCTCTCTGGGCCCCCTGCGCCGAGATACAAGGTGCTTTTGGACCGTCCAGCACGACCCCGAGGTGTCCAGCCCAGAGCAGAAGCTTGGGTGGGCCCAGAACCCTCGCCAAAGGTCTCTCTGAATATCCTGAGTTCGAGGGCGCACACCACTAGGGCAATCCGGGTCCTGGGCAGAACCAAAGCCCAGACTGATTCCAAGGTGGACTCAAGAAGTCGCGATGCCTTAGGCACCCTAGATACCACCCCACTCCTCCCCTGGCCGGGTAGGGGTTTAAGAAGGCAGGGCAACACACACCTTTCCAGGACGCTAAAATGTTTCGGGATCAAGGTTGATCCACTGGAAACAGAAAGCCCACCGTTGTCTGCTCATTGAGCCCAGAACCTTGGGCCTGGCCTCCCAAGTCCTTGGGGCCACCCAGTGCCCAGTGCCTGGCTCACGCGCTGCAGGGCTCCAAAGTTCACCGCAGGGAGAAGAGGGGGCGGCCAGGCATGGGGGTTGGGGCTGCGAGGAAAGGATCCAGCCCCGGCCGCCGTCGCAACTCACCTCGGCGCTGACCAGACGCAGGTAGCAGCAGAGAGGCAGGAAGAGCGCCCAGCAGCGATTCATGCCGACTCCGGGCCCGGCCCCGCGGGGCCCCGGACGCGTAGACGGAACGCGCCGCCCCCGCGGCCAGGGTGGGGGGCTGGGGAGTAGGGTGGGCTCTGCTCTGGTCCGCCGCGATCAGGCGCTCAGGCCGCTGCAGCCGCAGCCGCGGCTCACCCGCATGGCCCCCGGGCACCGCCGCCCCCGGCCCCGGCTCCGTCGCTGGGTGGCTGGGGAGGACCTGGACACGAGACCAGGGTCCGAGGCCGCTACCTGGGCGGATCCCGAGCCCACGCGAGCATCCACGACCGGGGGGCTGCGTCGCGAACCAGCCAAGGCGTCTAGCCGTGTGGGGGCGCGCAGGGGACTCCAACCTCCGAGAGGAAAAGGAACACGGCAGTCGATGGTTCGTCTTCACTCGTCCGTTAAAGGCGTGTTCCTCTGCCCGCTGGTTTAGCTTTTTTGCAACATTTTTTTTTTTTTTTTGGAAAGGTTCCCCAGATCAGAAAACGCAGGGCTGAGCACCTCCTAGCTCAAGTCTCCCCAAAAAAACTTTTTTCCAAAGTTGGCTTTTCAGCGGAGGCCCAAGCACCCGGGCAGGGAGAGGTGCAAACTCCCGCTCGGGCCGAGTGGTGGGGCGGGAGCGTGTGCGCCCTAGCTTGGGGCCCGAGCGGCGGGCACGGCTGCTCCGAGCGCGCGGCGCGCCCACTGCGCGCTGTGCCGGCCCGGGCCGACAGGTGGACGCGGCGCTGGTCAGTCGGTCGATCTGCCCATCCGCTCGCTGCTCTGGGCGTCCTCTGCGGGTTTCGAGCTGCGGCTGCTCCGGCTTATTCGTTGCAACGAGGCCTGGGGGGGGGCTTTTCTCCCCCCTCCTTTCCCTTTTGCGTGTGTGTGTATGTGTGTGTGCGCAAAATATCTCTCTGGAGAAAGAAAGATGGGCGCTGGCGGCCGGAGGGGAGCCCTCTGGGAAGCAGCGGGGGAGGCAGGCAGGCTGCTCCAGGCTGCAGGAGAAGTTGCCACCCTTCAGCTGTTCCGGCCTTTATAAAGGAGAAGGGAGAGTGCAAGAGGTGGGTGGAGACAGCCTTTCCTCCCCTGGCCCGGAGTCAGTGCCTGGAGGGGGGCAGGAACCAAGGGAGGGCCTGAGGCAAGGACTAAAGGGGTCTCAGTGCCAGGCAGCCCTTCTGGTTGTGGATCTAGCCCCTTGGCACAGTGACCTGTATTTAGGGGCGTGTCTGCAGGGCCAGAACCAAGACCAGGAGTATAGCCCCTGAACCCCAGAACCAGAGATCTGCAGCCTGGCAAAGGCATGATGATGAAGGGCTGGGATTCTGCAGCCTGGCAGCATAAATTCAGTTCCTGTCTTATTGAGTAGCTGGGTCACCTTGGGCAAGTCACTTTCCTTCTGTGCTTAACCATACATTCTTTAAGTGGAGGACGGGTGGATTAAATGTCAGAATGATCAGAAAGCATCCAGCCACACGCCAGCCCCAAGGTTAAAACTCTTAAACCCACAGTGGGAACCCTTCAGCTACAAGCTGGGTCTGTCTCTCCTTGCTTGTTGCCTGGCACACAGCATGCGCTGCCATGCCAGAATGGGCTGAATTTGAATTTGTTGAACTGCAAAGTCACACAAACCCCCACAGCCATACAGCATCTTCACTAGGCTGCCACCAAGATGCTGCTGTCAGCAGGGTGTTTCCTATCTCCCTATGTCCCCCAGTTCCAGGCCCAGAGGCCACCCACCCACACCAGCACTCTCAGATAACACCTTCCACCTCCAGCTCGGGGAGCTGCTGTGTCCCTGCCTTCAGCAGTCACACTGTCACAGTGACACAGTCACACTCTTGCTTGCTGGCCCAGCACCCATCACAAGACCAGCATGCTCACTGCACTGCCTCTCTGTCTTTGGGGCACCTTGGCCTCATCCACTTCTGTTGTCAGTCATTCATCCTTGGTCCCCATCAGCCTCACAAGTGCTGAGTGGTACTACTGCCTCTTTTGGCTCTGGACAGGATGGTGCTGGATGAGGGAGAGCCTCCCAAGCCTCTTTACACATGGCTTCAGGCACCCCCTTTTCCAAATGACCCACTAGCAGAGTAACCCAGTGACTGGGAGATAGCCTGGGGCAGGTGACCTTTGGGTAGGATTTGACCTCACTAGTGGTACCTTGATTTCCTCCTCAGTAACTTGAGATAAAATTGGAGGAAAAGAGGAATTTCAAAGGAGCATGGGAAAATCACAGGGGGTTGGAAATGTTTGCCATCTTTATGATTGATGATGGGTTCATAGGTTGGGTTGGTGGTCTGAGCAATAGGTCATTTGGTAAAGTGCTTAGTCCACTCCCCAGAACTCATGACAAAACCCAGGCAGAGTGGCACACACTTGCAATCCCAATGCTAGGGAGGTAAAGACGAGAGCTTGCTGGCCAGCCAGTCTAAACTAATCAGTGAGCTTCGGGCCAATGAGAGACTTTGTCTCAAAGAAGGAGGTTCCCAGTCTCTATGCTCACCTGCACACATTTGCACGTATGCACATACACATGTTAACTTTGTTTTTAACTGATTCATGCAGTTGGTTGTGCCCTCCTCACAGAGTGATGGGAAGCTCAAAAAAGATACTCCTCTATAGGACCACCATCCAGGACAGACAGACATATTGGGAGACAAGATGGCCAGCCTGGATTGTGGGGAGATAATCCAGCACACTCGATTTTGTGTCCAAAGCCTTAGAGATTGAAAATTACTTCCACCAGACAGCTGGGTAAGCTTGCCCTTGCCCTGTTCTTTTCTATGAAATACAGTGGTGGAGCCACCATTGAGTAGACCCTACGAACCCTGTCAGTGCTTCTGTAAGATAATGTTAGTCCATTATGCCCTACATGGAAACTGGAGCACAGAGGGACTCAGCAACTTGGACCCCAGGGCACATGGTATCTGTAGCTAGTAAAGCCATGGCTTAGGCTCCAGGTCCAGCTACAGAGCCCACATGTTTAACCCATCATGCAGTTCTATTTTCTGCAGGTGATGGAATGATGGCAATAGTGGCACTATAATTTTTTTGTTTATTTATGTACATAGGTGTTTTGTCTGTGTGTATGTCTGTGCATCATGTGCATATAGTAACCATAGAGGCCAGGAGAGAGCATCAGATCCACTGGGACTGAAGTTACAGATGGTCCTGAGCCATGGAGGTGCTGGGAATTGAACCCAATCCTCTAAAAGAACACCAACATCTCTTAACCAGTGACCTATGTCCCAACAAGGGCACTTTTTGCACATTGCTTTGCACAGGAGCAGGAGAGGCAGCAGGGACTGAGGTAAATGCTGGAAGGGCCCCTTTCAGCCTCCTTCCTACCAGGATCGCACGGCAGGCCTCTTCCAGGAAGCCTGTCAGGCTTGGTACTTGCTCAGGCTTCTCTGTCTTCAGAGTTATCTGAACATTGTTCTTGTATCAGCACCAAACTAAGTTGAGAGTGAATGGAGGCTTCAGCTGCCAGCATGCAGTAGTTGCTTGGTGGGTGTCTGTTGGTACAGTAAATGAATGAGCAGACATCTTGCCTGTTTCTTCCTTTCCACCCTGACCTGAGACAACATGTGCAGTTTGTGCAGAGATATCAAACCCTTCCTAAAAGGTGGCATGGTACAAACTCAAACACAGGGGATTCAAGGTGTATCCTATTCCCCCCATCTCCCCTACTACCCCACTCCACCTTCTCACCATCATTACAGAAGTGGATCTGGAAGTCTGAGACCTGGGAAGGCCAGGCCTAAATTCTGCTTTAGGGTCAAGAAGGAATCCTGTCAATTCAGGCTAGAAATAGGATGTGACCATGGAGTGGGGGCCTTGCCACCACAGTTCTCCACCCCATACTCTGACCCATATGAGCTAAATGGGAAAGAAAGTGGTTGTGCTGGGGTAGGTTTGTTCAAAAAGGTGCTTAGACTTTTAGAGTGGTCTCAGCCCTCTTCCATTGAAACCAGCTGCCTTCGTTTGGTTTCTGTTGCTGTGATGAAACACCTTGACCAAAAGCAATATAGGAAGGAAAGGGTTTATTTGGCTTACACTTCCCTATCACAGTACACCATTGAAGGAAGCCAGGGCAGGAACTCAAGGCAGGAACCTTGGGACAGAAACTGATGCAGAAGCTGTGTAGGGTGCTGCTCACTGGCTTTCTTCCTTGTGGCTTGCTCAGCCTGCTTTCTTATAGAACCCAGACCCACCTGCTCTAAAATGGCACTGCACAGAGTAGGCTGGGCCCTCCCACATCAATCAGGAATATGCTCCACAGGCCCATCTGATGGAAGAGTTTTCTCAGCTGAGGTTCCCTCTTCCCAGATGGTCCTAGCTCGTGTCAAATCTAACAAGAACACTATCTACACCTGGGTGTGGTCACCTAGGACCTGGAGATGCCTAGGAGATGCCAAGAAAGGAGGTGGTTCTTTCCCAGAGTCTCTACCTTAAACAGTCCCTGACAAGCTTGCTCTTCCTCTGCCACAAATGACCGCGCACGCACTCAAGCCCTGAACCATGTGACAGCCACTGTGTATGGCAGTCATTCCCTGCCTTCCTGTGGAAGAGACCTATGGTAAGTATATAGGGCCTCCTCACTGGTCTGCTTCGCTACAGAGCTGCCAGACAGGGTGAGAATACCATCACACACTCATTTTACAAGGCCAAGCCCCCAGTGAAAGGCTGCCTGGGTCTAAAGTCCACTCACTAGCTGTGGGACCTTTCTGAACCTCAGTTAGCTCATCTGTAGCTATGGGTACTGGTAGTAAAGTAGTAACCCCTCACTAGTTAAAATGACTTCACACATTCAGGTGTGGAAAGTTCAGCATGAAGGGCTGGAGAGAGGGCTCAGGGTTACGAGCACTGGCTCTTCTTGAAGGGGATCCAGGTTTAACTCTCAGCACCCACGTGGCAGCTCACAACAATTGTCTGTAACTCCAGTTCCAGGGGATCCAACACCCCCAGACAGACATGAATGCAGACAAAACACTAACACAAATAAAATTAAATAAGATCTTTAAAAAAAAGTGCAGCACTGAAAAGTGTTGGCCTTTATAGTACTAAGGCACATGTGTGCACACATCCACCTCCAAACCCAGGATCCAGGGTTAGGAAAACAACCCACAGTTGCAAGGACCATGGGCCTCAATACTGGGAATGCCTTGTCCTCATGTAGGGTCCTAGCCCTTCTGGTGAAGAGATATTCCCTTCTTCCATGACACTCTGGCCCCTGTACTGTGAGTCATAGGGAGAGCCCAGAAAAATAGACAGATGGACCATAGATCTAGGCTACCCACAAGAGCCTTGGGCCTGTCAGGTACACAGAGCAGAGGGAAGCCACTGTTTGTTTATGCCATCAGGCAGAACTGAAACATTTTTAGATCCTCAGGCTCCAGACAAGGAAGAGGATGTGGATGTTTGGACCAGCAAATCGGATCTGCCTACCTGGAAATGGCTGGAAGGAGTCCTCCAGTGTCACAGAGCTGGCCCAGAGGACTGGGAGGAGGCCCACCCACTGCCTTGGAGTGAACAAAGGTCCCTTCTCCTTGGAGAAGAGCCCTCCCAGCTGCACCTTGCCATGGTTAGGGCACCAGCAAAATCCAGGCTCAGGTCAGATGGAGAGACTTCCTGGGACTCTATCATGGCTGCCTCAGTGGAACCACAGTGGGGATAGGACAGTTGTACCCTTGAAAGCAAGGACAAAGAGGTGGCTGTATCTACCCTGAGCCCTGTTCCTGTTCCATAGTGCCTCCCATGTTGCCTGCCTCAGGGTGGCCCAGCTTTGGTATGTTTTGGGGTACAGGAAGACATGCCTGTCCATGGAAGGGCCTGTTAGAGCTAGAAGTAAAAGGCCAAGGATCAGTGTACCCCAGGGTCTTCCTCTTGCTGGAGAAATGCACACAGGGGAGAGGCTGTGTTCTGGAGATGGGTCAACAAGTACTCTCTAAACTAGTGTCAGTCAGCCATGTTGTGACATTCTAAAAGGAATGGGGCAGGAGGGAGGGACAGAGGCAAGTAGTAGGCAGCCACTGTTGTTGGGGTACCAGCTTGCTTGACAGAACTATTTGTAACTGTGGTAAGCCTGTGAAAAGAACAGAAGAAGTCACCAATTCCTCATCAAAGGCAGTCACTCTGTGGTCCAGTACTCAGCAGGCAGCTTGCCCTGAATTCT